TAATAGAAGTCCTTATCAATCGGAATAATAATACAAAAGCGAAAGTTTTTATGTGTGTTTGTTCATGTCAAAATTTGACAACTTTTTACTAAATACATATGAAAGTATATACGGTACTTATAATAAAAAAAAAACATTTTTTTGTAATTTTTGCCTGTCTGTTTGTTCCGGCTAATTTCAACGGCTAATAACAAAACACACCTAGGGACGCATTCGAGCCAAGCGAGGTTATATCGCTAGTACATATTTGTAATGTGAGTAATGTAATGTGAAATAATATAAAAGTTTTTTTTTGTGAGTACGTATCTTACTTCTTCAGGCTGTAGCTTCATACGCGAATCGGTGAAAATTTGAAATAAAAACCAATCATTTATATAATAAAAAAAATCTTTTTACTTTCATCAGTGTACGTACGAGAGGAGTCGCGAGCAAAAACTAGCGCTTAATAAAACAAGCACTTGGCGTAAGCACAACCGTGCAAAGTAATGCGTCTGCGCATTCAATTAAAACAACGAGTTCAATTAAAACGTATTTGAAGTGATTTATAATATGAGAAATTATATGATTTTTAAACGCCATTATTTATTGAGCTAATTGAAGTTAACTTATGCGATATATATGCGCTTACGTAATATGTCATTGCGATTGTTAAGCGCAGTTGTTTAATATTTATGAGCGAACGAATCTACATATATCAGATACAAAAAAAATATGGCGTTTCAAGTTGTACGTTAAAAAAAAACACAAATCTTGGGGGAATGTCTAAGCAAAGCTGTAAATAACAGAATTTGTCAGAATTTTTACTGATTGTATGTATGTATGTATGTTGTAAAGACATGTTAATGGATCCCTTGTACAAGTTCTATACATAACGGGATACAATGATAACGTTAAAATTATAGTAAAGCGAAGACCTCTACCCTCCATAGTTAATATAAATATTAAATCTTTTTTATATAAATAGCCAAAGACAAAACAGTTCAGTACCTTTTTCTCCTCGTGTTTGTCAAACGATTTTCTTTTTTTTTGTTTAGTAGCTATTGACAAGTTTTAGTGTTATCAATTAAAAAATGATTTTAACCGAATTTCGACCATAGGGCGAACACTAGTAGTAATAAAAACGCATGAATCCACTGACAGAATACAAAATTTTAATAACTTACTTATAACCCGATTGCGGAAAAAAATAACTATAATTATAGGAAAAGCATTCCACGACCTTGAACAAAAAAATAAACTAAATATTAAATAATATATGTATATTAAAACAAAAGTTGCGTATGTCAACGGGACAATAGTAACGAATCGATTGACACCACATTATTCAAAATAATGAGTAATTTAGACGCATTATAGAACATACAAACATACATACATACATACAAACAAATCTTTTTTCGTTGGGTAAAAACAAATTGTATCCGGTTACCAAATATTTTTTACAAATTAAATTGTCTGGAAGATATTAGTTTTAAAGATAACTTTTGTGTTTACTTTTTATACTATTTGTTGTTGTGTACATTATCTTGTTCCTATGTTATTTTAATGCTACAAAGATGATAGTTAGAATACCTACTTCTAAGTTTTCTAATCTATACATATAATAAAATTGTCGAATCGAGGCAGTGGTAGCCCAGTGGTGACGCGCTCGCTTGGGTAACCGAGTGAAGCGGGTTCAAATCCCGTGTCTCGCACCTCTGATGGGACGACCAGACCAGCAGTGGGACGTTAAAAAGGGCTAAATACAATAAAATTGTAACTAAGCCGAATGTATATATTAAACATTTTTTGTAAAATATTATTTAATCGATACAGAGGCCGAATCTATAGTTTTTAGTATTTTTGTCTGTCTGTCAGTGACCACATCACGGGAAAACCACTAGAAGAATTTAGATGAAATTTGGTATGATGATAGCTGGGTAACCAGGTCAACATATAAGATACTTTTTACTGCGGGGAAATATCTCATCTCTGAGAAATCTATACCAAACGTTAAAACGTAAGTAGGGACGAACTTGAGCAGAGCGAGGGTGAGTCGCTAGTTTGCTGTATTTTTGTATATCATTTATTTACAAGTAGCTATTGCCCACTTAGTCTAAAAATCACCAAAGAAATAGACACAAATTCAAACATTCATAAAACACTACTCTCCTTCAACACCTTGAAGAAAACCCATAAAAAATGGGGTGACATAGACTATTCAAGTCATTGACGATATAAAACAATCAAAATTAACAAGTAGACAAACTGACATAAGTAGCTTTATTTAGTTATCTCACAACAGATATGGCTTTACAACATGTTGGTCAACAAACTTTATCAATTATTTGGAAAAGCTTATAAATCATATTACTATTCGTTGTGTAAATTATCTTTTTTTATTGTGTCACTAGCACTGCCCGCGGCTCCGCCCGCGTTCAGATGACCAAAAACCAAATTCTTAGATTTTATATATTAGTATACTCTTACTTTGTAGGTTTTGTATTTTTTCTCAGAAATGAGACATTTTCCCACGGTAAAAGTATCCTATATATTGACCAGGATAACCAGCTATCACCATACCAAATTTTATCAAAATCCCTCCTATGGTTTTTCTGTGATGCGGTAACAGACAGACAGATAAAAATTCAAAAACTACAGATTTGGCCTCTGTATCTATGATAATGTTTATTTCAATAAGATTTTTCAAAAAATGTTTAATTTGTACAGATTAGGCTTAGTTACAATTTTATTATATGTATAGACATATACTTAAGGCCTAGAACTTAACTGTCTATATATTTCTGGTCCAGACTTCCAATCTAATGATTCTAAACTGATAACATTTTATTAGATTTTAGTATTACTTGAAACTTGGAATTAATGCTCTTCAATAATACAATTAAATAAACAGGGGTTTTAGCATTTTTTCAAATTCATCCCATGAGGGGGTAAAATGGGAGATGAAAGTTTGTATGAAACCTATCTTTTTAGAGTATTTTGTATGTAGCTAGAGCGCGAGCGAAGCCGCGGGTTCTGCTAGTATAAAATAATTTGTACAAAATTTTTAGAAAATGCTATGTAATACTAGCGACTCATCCTTGCTTCTTTTCAGGTTCTTTCTTAGACAAAACTTAACAAATCTATGCCACGAGAACCACATATTTTTTCAAGATAATAAGTTACCTATGTGCTCTTTCACACTATAATCTATCTCTGTGACAAATTTCATCCAAATCCGTTTAGCTGTTTTGGTGTGAAAGAGTAACTGAAACTTTCACATAAACAATATCAACAATATAATACATTGATATAATCAATAATTACATAAGAACACTACAATGTATATGTTAAAACATCGCATCACCAGTACTGAAATAATATTAAAAACAATTTATTATTTTCCTTAGAAATTGCACATCATTTCTTAGCAAATTTTATCTTTAAATTTGTTAATAATTTGTCAAGACAGCCACTTCAGAAAGTCGAATATTATTCTAATTCTCCAATTTTTCTATTCAATTTGTATCTTTTATCATTTTGTAATTAACTGTATATTAGTTTTTGTTATAAGTAAATAAAAACGCATATTTATAACATTACAAAATTGTAATATTGTGAAACACTTTCATCATAACCTATCACATGTCTAGGCAATGATAATCAGTTTTCAAGCATATGCTTAGAGAAATTGTATCAATATTAATAATAAGATAGTATAATTTTATCATTCATAGAATCTTACTAATATTATAAATGTGAAAGTTTAGATGTTTCAAAGGATGTTTTCTCTTGACCACACCTGAATGTTTGAACAGATCTGGATGAATTTTAGCAGAGATAGATTGAAGTATTTTTATCCTTGAAAAATGTATGGCTCCCTGTAGGATAGATTTGTTTTTGGTTTTCTAGAGGCGAACCCGAGCGAAGCTAGGGTGAGCCGCTAGTAACGAATAAACTTACTATTTATTTAGCACAAAAGAAATAAAAAAAACATCTACATAAATGTAAGGTTAAACTAAGCATTACTGAATTTTAAGTTTCGTTAAATAAAATCGTGAAATGAGTTTTGATAAACGCTTTCATTATCATAATGAAGGCATTATTGAAGGCCCATTATTTACATTAGTTTAAAAAACCTTTAAACTTGTTAATTATAACAACACGAATTCACTAAATTAGCGACGGAAATACCCAATAGCTGCTTCGGCTCGTATCCAATAATCTTCTATAACAGTTTTTCACTTCCAGTAATACGTTTTTAATATATAAAGACATTAAAATTAATATTGTATTAACTTGTCTAAAATAGACCGGTACCGCGACAGTAAATAATTTGACACTACAATTTTTTTAGCAACTTTATCGATTTGACATCGTACGATGTTGCCCAGATAAAAAATTATTATCTGCTCGAGTAAACTGTAAAATAAAAATTATAAAACGTAAACATATTTCTGCTATTATTTTTTATTAGAGACATTATTAACTACAATAACTTTAATTTTTATCTATTTGGTAATTTTGTATGACAGTATTAGACACGTCAAGAGTGATGTAGTGTGATATTGTTTACATTTAATTTAATGTTTATACGTTCCTTTCCGCTGATTTAAATATCAATTATCAAGTTCACTTTATCAACGAAGTAAATGTCAAAACAATAATATTATCCCAGGTATATGGTACCTATAATAAAAAAATGATATTCATACGTTTTTGATATTATGTTCGCCTTTAGGTATATACGATTTTTTTATTTTTAAGAATTTAATTATTCACACGTATACACTTACACAAGTATGTTACGAAATTTATTTTAAAATTTTAAGTGAATCCTCAATAAAGTGTAAATACAAAGTGAAAAGGAGGAAAGAACCATTTTCCACTTTTGCTATTGCAAGTTAAACTCTAGTTATCTCTGTATAATCGTCACAGGGTGGTACGATATTTGCAAAAAAATAAAAAGATTCACAAATTCTAAAAACTACTACTTTATCATTTGCTAAATATCTATTTACCTTAGCCATTGTTTTTCTCTATCTTCAATGCAGTGAAAGCTAATGTAATAACTATATTTTAATTCAATTTTAATGACACCGAGTTTATAACGCAAGTATTACGTCTGCACTTGTCCAGTTATAAATACCAACTAACGAGCGAGACAAGGCATGGAATATCAATAGAATGATAAGATGGGGTTTATCATGAGTGCAAGCGAGAAAGCAAATACGATTCCACACGATTCACAGCGAATATTGACGAAATGCATCCCTTGTTGTCCAACCTGTCGTGTTAACCTGACCGATTTAAAACGTTCGCGAATTCATTACATCCTTGAATGTATAACCTAGTATGTAATTTTCCACAGTTATCATGGACGATAATACAACCAGTGTATAAAGTTAGCCAAATTACTGACGACTTTGATTTTGCACACCCATTTACACTTGTAAAGGCTCTTGAAAAGTTTTATAATGCGAAAAAATTAAAAATATGCGTCATTTATTGCAATATTGTGACTCACCGGTTGTTGACATACATTTGTAATAATTTATCTATGACTAGCAACCCACCCTAGCTTCGCCCGGGTTCTTCCCTATATACGTTTTAACTGTTAGTATGGAATAGAATATAGACTATAATAATATATTAGTATATGTATGCAGTGGTAGCGCTTGGAAAACCGAGTGAAGCGGGTTCAAATCCCGATTCTGGTCTCTGATATTTTCATGTGCGAATAATTTCTAACATGATTACCACTTGCCTTACGGTGAAGGAAAACATCGTGAGGAAACCTGCATGTCTGAGAGAACCTAGCAAGATTTCGAAATACATTTGAAGTCCGCCAAACCGCACTCGGCCAGCGTGGTAGACTATGGCCTGATTCCCCTCGTACTATAGGGAGGCCCGTGCCCAGCAGTAGGACGTTAACACTTTCCGGGACAGACCGCCTCTCGACGTTAAATTGGCATCGTGTTATGTGACAGTACGGCTATGGGCGGCTACTTTTATTTTATTATATCTGACAAAGCGTCGATGGCCGTTGGTTATCCCTATCATTACTAGGAAGCACGTGATCTAGTGTCATATCACATGCCTCCGTTCGGTGATAGCTGTCACGGTAAACTCTATTCGAGTACTTTTTCCACACGCATATACGCAGTGGTTTCACACCCAACAAATACAGGTACACCGTCGAGAGGCGTAAACTCAGTCATACAAGTACAGTGATTTCGGAATTCAGTGTCACAGCGCGCGCACTACCTGTTAATCTTTGCTATGTTGTACGTGTTTAGTGATTTTTGTCAACAAATGCAAGGTAAATAAAGTTTATTTATACTATAATATGATATAAATCTGATGGAAAATGTGTTGTGTTGTCCTATAGTGTTGTTTTTATTTAGGTAGGGATAGAAATATGTTATACAAGTGACAATAAAACTTTATTCGAATGATATTTACCTGCTATTTTGCAGATGTCGTCCAATGATTAATGAATGATGACAAAAAAAGAAGGGGAAAAAAAAAGTAAATACAAAAAGGATATTCAAAAAATGACAAAAAAAATACGATGTACACAGAGACAGGAAGAAGAGATGATATACAATAATGTTTCGAAAAATCTTATTTTATACACAAATAGTTTCTCCTGTACTAAATATTAACAGAACAGGTAAAAGTCTTACGAAGAATTAAGGATATTTTTTAGAAGTTTACAATAATGTCTATATGTTATAGAATACATTGTACTATAGGTAATATTAACGTCTATGACCGTAATTGCCTTATCGCAAAACTAAAAAATAATGTAAATTGTCAATACGGCAATGGACGATATGTTCGAATGTATGGAAATTTTGAATGTCATATCGTGAGACTAAAAAAAATTTAAGTGTCCCGGAACGTGTTAAAAAGGGCTGAATACTATATTAGTATATGATGAGTTTTATAATCTTGTGTGTGGCATCGTAGCTCTCGAACGGATGAACCGACTATGATTTTTTTTTTTTTGTTTGAACGGTGAATTAGTCAGGACTCAGGAGAGTTCTTAGCGATGTTTGAATAAAATCGGTCCAAGATGCCCGCCGCCACAAAATGGCGGATTACATAATTTTTCATATAGGTATAACTCCCTCAATATAGGTATCAAAAAGGACTTAACTAGTAGAATTCTATACACTTTGATAAATTTCAAATCCAAGATGGCCGCCACCACTAAATGTCAGGTTTTTTTTAAATTTTAAATTTAATTTATTTATTATATTTTTTCACGCGTAGTAAAATCTAGAAATAACAAATATGTGAGCGAAGAAGTATTAAAATGGTATCCTGTTTTATTTTCTTAGAAATTAGAATGATTTGTATTAAAATAATACTTTGTTTTCTTTAGGTACATAAGCACTTATCAGTCGGTTTCCATTCAAGTAAACGATAAAACAGTCTTAGTTTTGTTATGATTATAATATTGTTTACACTACATAAATTACATTTTATAATATATTACTAAGTATGTATAGTTGTTAGTTTCTTTGTAATGAAATGACGTAAAGCCATATTTATAGGCATAAAAAAATTGATATACAAAAATCTAATATTATAAATGCGAAAGTTTGTGAGAATGTCTGGATGTTTGTTACTCTTTCACGCAAAAATTACTGTATGGATTTTACTGAAACTTTACAATAATATAGCTCATATATCAGAATAACACATAGGCTACTATTTATCCCGGAAAAATGTACGGTTCCCGCGGGATATATTTGTTATTGTTTTTCTAGAGGCGAACCCGAGCGAAGCGAGGATGAGCCGCTAGTTGTATATATCTTTAAAATCGGTCATAAAGTTTATATTATAAAATTGTGTCAAAACAAAAATCTTTACAAATTAAAAAATACTACATTATTTATTATGTTTTTAAATAATTACCCTTTTTTATTTTTGTTTTTTTTTTAATTTTTATCTCTTTTTATGTACTTAAATGTAAAGAATTATTCACATTTAATTAGGGTCAAATAAATTCGAAGAAAGAAAAAAATACCTGTTTTTATTGGAACATTATACTTGCTTAAACATAAAGCATTTTACCTATTTGGTTTTCGATTTATACTTTTTATTCAAAACTTTTTCTTTTAATAGATACAACCCTATAAAGGCATCCCTTACGGTTCAAAGTTACTGTTTCATACAAACATACAGACGTACTGCGAAAGAACGTCTGGGTTTAAAAAAATAATACATATTTATAAAATGGCACTATAACAATACTCTAAATTTTACCGACTTCCAAAAAGGAGAAGGTTCTCAATTCATCGGAATCTTTTTTTTATGTAGGTATGTTCACCGAGAACGCCTGAATTGATTTGGAATTTTTTTTTTCAAAGGGTATACTTCCCAGGTGGACCCATATAAATTTTATCAAATAAACAAATAAATTGTTTAATCGAACATGTTATTAATAAACCTTCTTCTAGTAAATTACCTGCTTATTACGTCTACACTAAAAATGGACAAATAAAAACTTAAAAAAAACCGACTTTCAGGAACTAAAATGTAAAAAAATAACTAAACGGGGGTTTTCATTTAGAATAGATACCTAATCAGATATTTTCGAAGTCGGTGCATATATAAATATATATAATATATAAACTCGTATTTATAATAGTTAATTATTTCAATTTTTACGCAGTCGGGTTTTTAATTTTTGTAATTAAATCGAAATAAATGTTTTATTCGTTACTTATTTAGTTATAAACTTATAACATGACTAAGTAGATAGCTAATGGAATATTTTTATGTTCAATGTTCAGTTATCAGAGGACCATCGCACGTACATAATTCGGTTTTTCTTATCAAAATTATAAAACAATAATTATTTTTTCAACATATATTTTTTAACATTATATTTTTTTACAATATTTAACATATTTAAATGGAAACCAATACTACGTACAATACATATTTGTTGAATCTCTATATGAGATAGACATATGCGAGTGTCGTCCCCAAATACGCAAGCGACAAAACAAGAAAAGGCAACAGGTTTTAGATTTTTTTTTAATTTTGCAATCGGGTGACATCCGGGTGGTTTGCCTTTGCCAATATATTAATATACCACGGAAATAAGTTGAATTATCTTGTATATAATATACTAGCAAAAGCCGCGGCTTCGCTTAATAGCTTATTAGTTTTAGTTTTAACTACAAAAAAGTCTTAGTTACTAATAATTAGTAATTAGGAAGTCTGCCTGATTTGTTGACATTTATGATTACTGCTCTGCTCTCTTCGATAGTGGCATGATGATATACAGCCTATAGCTTTCCTCAATAAACGGGCTATCTATTGCAAAATAATTATTCAAATCGGATTAGCAGTTTCTGAGATTAGCATGTTCAAACAAACAAAAAACAGTTCTACTTTATACTTTATCGTCATCAGCTGTGCTGTAAAGCATTCGAAACGTTGGAAATAAATATCAAAATAAAACGCGAATGGCTACTAAAGTTAAAAAAATTGTGACATAAGTGTTATTCATTTATTATTCAAAAAATGACGTCAATACGTTATGTTGCTGCTTGAAAGTGGGACAAACAAACAAACACCCTATCGTATTTTAATACCATATAAGGATTGTTTAGAAACTACTTGTTATAACAGTTTTATACAATCCTTTCTCTATTTTGATATAGCTTTTGAACTATAAGTCGTTGCCTTTTGAATTATATGAATATATTATGCTTCGAATGTTTTTGGCCGTCAGATAAAACATAAACACATAAAATTTTTAGTGGAAAATCTATAGTTAAACAACATATAATATAAAAAGTTGTCAAATATCGGACATTTCATGGGTGCTAATACAACAACACACTGCACTCTATGCCTATCACCCAGCTCCAGGATTTAGGATGACAATTTGTTCTACTTGCTCTCCTAAGCATGGAATATATATAACACCGCTAACTTCCCAAAAAGCAGCTCTTTCTGTCAATGAAATCTCAGTAAAGACTGAGATTTCATTGACAGAAAG